TGTGAGCGTTTGTGCATGTGAGTGAGAGTGTCTGTGTGTGGGTGTGTGAGCGTCTGTGTGTGTGTGTGTGAGCGTCTGTGTGTGTGTGTGTGAGCGTCAGTGTGTGTATGTGTGTGTGTGTGTGTGTGTGTGTGTGTGTGGTGTGTGTGTGTGTGTGTGTCTGTGTGTGTGTGCTGTGTGTGTGTGTGTGTGCATGTGTGTGGTGTGTGGCGTGTGTACGCGTGTGTACGTCTGTGTGTGTCTGTGCGTGTGTCTGTGTGTGTGTGTGTGCTTGTGTGCATGTGTGTGTCTATCTGTCCCTGTGTATATGTCTGCCTGTGCGTGTGTGATCGCCTGTGTGTGTGTGTGTGTGTGTCTGTCCTTGCTTGTATATGTGTCTGTGCGTGCGTGTGTCCCCGTCTGTGCGTGTGTCCCCGTCCATGTGTGTGTCCCCGTCTGTGCGTGTGTCCCCGTCCATGTGTATGTCCCCGTCCATGTGTGTGTCCCCGTCCATGTGTGTGTCTGTCCATGTGTATGTGCATGTGTGTGTGTGTGTAAGTCCATGCGTGCCTATCTGTGTGCATGTGTAAATACAAGCAACACTAATAACATGTTTTCAAAGGATATTACCTCTTACAAAGGAAAAGTGAGGAGAAGAACAAGGAGCATTTTCTAAACAGTGTTCACTTGAATCAAAAATAAAAGCATGGGTCATAGATGTTGGTGATCAATATACACAGTCTGGCACTCAAGCCCTAATACAATACCTATCAATGCAGGTAAACTCTAACAAGACGATTTAGTTTTCTTATCTTAATTTTCAACAACGTAAAATGTGTCCTTTAATTTTCTTTAAATTTAAAACCCATTCTAACATTGTGCAATCACTTACTAAGGAGTGGTTTAATTTAGTAAGATTGCTTTAGCTAGACAGTCTTTACTATTTTGAGCTGAAGAAGCTGTAGCCATACATATCTTGCAAGGCTGACACTAAGGAATTTGTGCTTGAGGACAACTTTTGGTGGGAAGCTGAACTATGCAGAGCCACAGCACATTCAACTCTCTCACGGGCATTTTCTCATACCTTCAAGCCAAGATCCTGGCCATTTATTCATTCTGTATGGCAATTTAGAGTACCAAGAAAATCAATGGGAGAGAAACTACTCCAAAATCTTGAATACTTTGTACTGGAGTTACCCTGCATACATTTCTTAGAAATAACAAAGAATGTCAAATAATCATATAAGAAAAGAAAAGAAAAGAAATAAAATCAAGAAATCAAAAGTATCTTCAATACAAAAGGAGGAGGAGAAGAATATACACAGACATGGCACAAGTGAAGGGCTGGAAAAGGGGTAAGAAGGTAAGGAGAGGAAAGGAAGTGAATTACTATATTACTTACTTCATATTTAGTAATATAATGGATATTTTCTAATTTAAATGGTTGAAAAAATATTTCCCACATTTCCAAAAAAACATTCTATTTTCTAAATTTGTGTCGTATCATATGCATATCCTATGAACTACAAATCTCTCTTGGGTTATAGTTGTTGCTTCAGAAATGTGGTAAATATCAAGGTAGACTACAGACAAAACAGCAAGGAAGAGGAAACGACCAGTCATTACCTGGACTTACCTCTACGCCTGCTATGGTACTGTGGGTCGCTGTTGGTTGAAGCCCGGAGCCCCAGCTGCTCACACGTTAGGCAGAGCCAACAAGGGGGGGGTTCAGCATCTCCCAGATCTACACAAGGACCATGGTATATCACACCACATCCATCACACTGCACATCTGCCCCTGGAGTTGAAAATGAAATACTTGACTTGTGATTCATCAGAACTCAAACACCCTTTATATGTTTTAACATTCCTGAAAACACAACTTAAAAATGGTAAAAGTAACAGGAATTATTTCCATAATAAAAGCAAATAATCATAACTTACCCTTCATCTTGCACATTGGACAAACTTCCTCTGAGGGCTGTGATGCCACGGGAAATTCCTCCTCTACAGACTGGGGGGAGGCCGCCTGCGAAGGGGGGCAGGTGGTCGGGGGTGAGCAGGATGATTGTGCAGGCGAGCAAGGACGTGACTGAGGTTGTGACGGGGGTTGGGAAGGGGGACGAACCTTGCGTCTCAGGGTAGGTGGTGACCCTGCACCAGACATTAGCCAGGCACGACGTTTCCGGCGCTGTGTTGTGGAGTGCAGAAAATTAGGGAGATCATCCTAATATAGCAGTTTGAATTAACATATTAATAGTTTTAAGTTTTAAGATAATATAATAGTTTTTATATTTGCTATCTGATATACTTTCAAAACTGATATCTAAAACTGAACTGCAAAAGAACACTTACAGTTTCTGGCTTCTCCCATATTGTATTTGAGAATATATGAGAGTAAGCATTTCTTTTCCTCCTCTCATAGCGTTTGTCCATAACCTCTCTACATTCCCGCACAGTGAGAAGACCTTATTTGGAAGAAAATAGCAATCATCAAAATAAAAACATGACTTTTCAAAACAGTTTACTTAAAACAGTTAAAAACGATTTTCAGTAAGATTTATAATTCCTTAGAAGTACCCTAACAAAATTCTGGTCCTAAAAATGTACAAGCTACTTACCCAGAGCATGCATAAACTCATCCTCAGTGACTAAGTCATGGATGTCTTCCATGGAGTAGTCTGCCGTTGGAGGCTGAAAGTTGTGAAGTCTCTTCTCCGGTGAACACCATCCTGTTGGGCTGTTAGGCTCACTTTGGTTCGCTGGAGTTCTGTTCAGTAAGATATAATTAAGCTAATACAAAAAAGTTATACAATGTATAAGCATAGTTGAACTAGGTCTTATAAAATATTATAAAATAGTCAAGTCTAGTTTCAGGTAAAATTAAGAGCTATAAATACATCAAAAAGGTAAAATAAATAATAATAATAGTATAATAAAATTAAATCTATGTGTATAAATATAATATCTAAGGAAAAGAAAGTGTAACAGGGCAATCATAATGACATATGACTTACACCTCTGTAGCAGGTTCCTCAAAACAGTCATCAGAATTGACATCTTGCAAGTCCTTAGCATAGTCTGAGCAGGGTGTTGCTGTAGCATGAGTTTCTGCCTCCCTGACTGGGCTCTTGCCTTTGTGTGTGACATGAGGGGGTTCAGAGCCAGCCTTGTCATGGTTGTCATGTAACATCTGCTCATCACACAACAGATCAATGTCTTCCTTCTGGCTTTCTCTTCGCTGCGTTTTTCTGTAATCCTCATTTTCCCTTTCTTCTCTGAGCTTTGCTACTACCAATTTCTGAAGTAAAGTATAGGTAGTAAATAATATCATAACAATAATGATAATAAAAACAATAAGTCCATATATATATATATATATATATATATATATATATATATATATATATATATATAATATAATATATATAAAGAATATATTCCAGTATTAGAACTGTTACCATAATGTATCACTTACAAAAACTTTTTCCATCAAATTTTCATTAGAAATAACAGAACTTACCTGGCTTTCATTGATAGCTACCAGCTGACACAAACATCAAGGATCTCTTTTTGCAAGGCCAAGTTCTGTAAGAAATTAAAATTGTTTAAATTTCATAAAATCATCATTACTATCAATATAAAACATATGTATATTTTTTAAAGTGTGTCTGTATATGAGCATGTGCATGTGTATATAGCTAAGGCAAAGAAAAAAATCTTCCGAGGGAGAGAAAAAAATAAGTCACATTTCTTTTATTTATGACAGAATACTATAAAACTAATATACATTAATATATATATATTATATATATATATATATATATATATATAATTTTTTTGCTTGTAAACCTGTCATTAACTCTAATCTACACAGAGCAAAAGAGTTTATAAATATAAAATATGCCTGGTCATTACTGGCCTTCAAACATCATCTGTTGATGTAAAACACTCATGGAAAAGGAATATTATGATTCCTTATCAAGACTGAAGTCACAGAGCTTTGTATTTCTTTTTTTATGATGTCATTTTTGGTTATTAACAATATAGTCTCTGATACATTGTTTCTGTTAATTCAGCAAATTAAATAGTTATTTTCCTCTGCATAAAACATAATATGTACTGCAAACTTATAGCTATTCAAAGCAATTATTGGATGCATATAGATTTTAAATCCAGTTGTCTTTGATAGATTGTAATAAAGTATTAAGAGCAATAGCACCCCTCACATGCTGTTAAATTATGAAGCTCAGAAGTAAAATAAAAAAAAAGTAAGAAATATACCGTCACTGTCAGCAATGTTATTTGATATGAAGTCTCTGTATACTTTCGTACTACATTCTTGAGTTATTGGTGATAGTATTTTTGATACATATCATTCGACCAGATATAAAAAAGAATGATGATTTTATAACTTTATAACTGCTTGCTTACTGTATAAAAATGTGAACTGAACTGTGAAATGCTAATGGCACAGTATTTTGAGGAACAAAACTTGGAAATCAAAACCAAAAGCAGTGTTGAGGTAATACGGTACTAGATTCCTCTAACATAACTGTACATGTGGATCACATATAAAATCTATGTAACCATTTGTCATATGTCAAAACTGTCAAGCGAGTGTATGCTAGGAGAATAAATCTCTGGTTATGATAAAACAAACATGGTTTACCAATACAAAATATATGTATTTACGCTCATATAAATCAGTGGGTACATGTGAATGGTTAGGCAAGCATTTTTAATAATCTGTCTGTGTATATACTTCACTTTGTTTGTGTGCGTGTGCACTTCACTAAGATTGTTTGGAAATTTGTGTATTTACTTGTTTGTTTGTGCATGCATTTATTTGATTTTTTGTTTGTTTATACTTGCGTTTACTTAATCGTTTATTTATACCTGTATTTATCTGATTTTTGTTTATTTATATCTGCATTTATTTGATTGTTTGGTTATACATGTCTGTATTTATCTGATCATTTATACATGCATTTACTGATTGTTTATCTTCACATGCACTT